TCGTGGTCAAAATCTTCCCTGCATGTTCCTTTGTTTTCGGATCCGATCCGATTTGAAATTTCAACAAGATACCCGATCGAGTATAGGTGATACTCGACCGGGTATAGACCAAAAAATCAGGACCATCCCTTTGTCTTGTGATTTTGCACCTTCCTTCCACTTTTAGGGTTCACCAACTGTCCTTTGAGTGATAGTAGACCTGTTTGAGCTCAGAATAAACCTAATCTAAACAATTTACAAGATTTTAACAAACTAAATAATTACACCAAAAGTGAGTAATTTCCGAAATATTAAACAACCAAAACTAACTAAAAACGTAAACAAACACACGGAAATTACAAGTGTATCAGTAATGATAAGAAGGAAATGATAGTGTGTCCATGAGAAAATATGAGAAAATTTAAGTTATATTGTATTTCATTTGTATGCCTATTACATGTTTGTTGAATAACTTGAATCAATTTTTATCATATCTTAGAAGTTGTTATTTTTATACCTATTTTGTTTGTGCTTTTATGTTTAATAGGAATTTATTTTTTATTTTTCATTTTTGCAGTTCAAATCCTGATATATGTTTATTGTTTGACTATTTTATTTGATAAGTAAAAATTCTGTATTGAAACATTATTCTTTAATGTTGTTGTTCATGTTTAATTTATGAATACAATATGATTGGGGTCACAATAATGTTAAACAAAATCTAAAAAATGTAAGCTAAGGCAGTTTCTAAGATAACTTGGCACTTATTTAAATCTTTTGAGAGTTTCTAATGTACGTTGCACTTTGTTTAGAGCTTAAATGTTTTGATTTGTTCTTTTTTATTGCAGGTTGCTTATGGCATTTGGCGGAGACACCGACATCAATATGGTGGCATTTTGCTGCCCAAAAGTGTTGGGTTTGAAAGGGAGGTGCTTTCACCGGTGAAGTTAGTGCCGAGATGCTGATAAATTTAAGCATTCTTTGGATACGCCCTTCTCCAAGGCTTAAAAGTTATTGCTTGTGTTGAGGAGACTCTCCAGCAGCCTCTCTACAATGAAAGTAGTTGCTTCTAAAACAAAAGCAATTGCTGAAAAGATCTCAAATTGGTCCAACATTGTTTTAGCTTATGAGACCGTTTGGAGAAATATAGACCTTTGACGTATTGCAAATACAATTGTCATATTGTAGAAGTTTAGCATCTTCTAATGTATACAATTGGTGTTATTTCAGAACCTTTTGTATAACAATTTGAGTAATTGATGAAAATTTTGACCATTTTTTTGTTATTTATCAATATTTATATAATAGAATTGTCATGCATATCCTTTGTGATTTGTGAATAAGATATGAAGGGTTTGGCAATGGAAAAGAGTGTCTTGTCACAGACAATATTGATTAGAGCAATTGTATTAAGATGCTTCATGTGAAAGCCATTTCCGACCTTTAATACTTGTATAAATTTGAAAGTTAGTTTCCATCAATATGTATGTGATAATTATACCTAAAAGACCAAAATATATCTAGTTTACAAAATAATAAAAAGTGATTTCTACAAACTCATTATCTCATCAACAAAAATAAGAATCAAAATATCAAATTTATTAAGTTACACATCGCCATAGTTCAAATGAATACAACACAAATTGTCATTCTTTTGTAAGTTCATCATCACTAAAGTTTACAAAAAAATATCACACTTATATGCCCAATTCCTCACAAACATCAAATAATTTGTCACTTGAAAAGGCTCTTTTGATCCATTGATAGACCTGAAATATTAAGCATTTAAAATCATAATTAGAAAACATGATAACATTATTAAACATTTAAAATAATAATTAGGAAAAATGATCATTAGAGTGGCTAACATAGATCAATAATCGAGTGATAACAAGCATAGAAATTATTAACATAACAAACAATAATTATATTGCACAGATCCTATAATATATTCAATTGCTTACATTCGTAACTGACCTCTAGAGAAGGTAAATGTAAATGTGCAAATCCTTTGAAAGTTAATATTTTGTTCTTGCTAGCAGCTAATACCTGCACAAAATGATATGCAGATTGCATAAAAGCAAGTAGCATAGAAGATTCAGACTATCGGATGAAAAAATAGTGAGTTGGATGCTAGACGCCAGAAGCATCAAACCAGCCTACTCAATACAAACATACCTGCAATCAAGGCTGACATGCCATTGAAAAGGATTTTAACTTATTCCAAGCAACAGAGAGAAACTGGGTTTTTCAAAAGGAAAGAAGAAATCTAGAATAACTGATACTGCATTTTGGATTATAAATTGTGAAATACAGCTGGCAAAACATTGTAAAAGCAATCACTTACCCATATATTGTTCAATACAACATTTTTTTCTTAAAAGCAGTCACTTACCCATTTAAAAAAAAAAACGTACACCATTTTTTCCTTACACTTAATTGATTACACAATTACTTTAAAGGGAAAAAATAAATTAACTATTGCCTCACTTTATAGAGCACCCCTATGATAAAATGGATCAGAAGGAGGCAACGGCTTATGCCCTTGCCATTCTTTATTTGCAATCAAATGACAGATAAAACTGGGACGCACTTATTCGATCAACTTACTTTCATGTTATATATAGGAACCAGAAACCCGATTTTCCTGATTTTGGTGTCCCCAATCAGAATAGGGCCGCTAACGCATCAGTATACGCTTTTGATGTTCTTCAAATGCAAGTAAAGATAAACTTGTCAATTGGCATAGTGTGGAGATGATCAAATATGAAGCACTAGAGAGGATGGGAACAAATATTTAGCAGAATTTGTGTCTCATATTATTAGAGAAACCTATTACGTACTTTTTTTTTATAACAAGCAACATTATGCTTAACTTCATATCCTTAATGATTATCCCTTACAAGTGTTGTAATGCTAGGCTACTAGCAGTAGTAAACCAAAGCATATAGACGAGAAAAGTTTGTGCAAACTCGAAGGCTATAAAGACTACAGAGTATCATGGATGGACAAGCAATCCATTAATTAATGATTCATCCATGTATTATATACTACACAATAAACTACCAAAACATAAATGATCAAATAAAGAAGTCAATAAAAATAGTTATGTCATTATTTTAACTGGGAAACGAGAAAATTAGAATGGTGAACTAATTAACAGAAAAAATTAGTAAAAGTTTTGGATTTAAACCAAACAACTCATTGAGTCATTTCAATGAACATGTTATGAGCATAATTGAGAAGTAGAGTAATTGAACTAAAATTTCAATAATTAACCCTAAATTCTCTTACAATAATACAAAATACTCAACTATTGAGTGTTATATCATACATAATATACAAAAAATTCAGAAAATTTAAATAAATGAAACACTAAAATGCATAGAAAAATCGAAATAAATATTACCTCAATATTATGGGCTCATTGACCGGAGCTTGTTGTTAGAGTGGCAAAAAATTGACTGTCTCATCCTCGTCTTCAACATCGATTCCAGCTTGAAGACAAGTAACGATGAAAAAAACTTGACGGAATTAGGGATTTTGGAAGGGAGAGACAAATGAAAAGGTGAATGAGAAAGAAAGGATGCTCTGAGCGTACGATGAAGAGACGAGAGAGAGAGGAGGAAAGGGGGACGGTGAATTTGCATAAGGGGAAGGGGTAATTTTTTTGGATTTGGGGTCTCTGCCTTGCTCTAGCAGCAAGGTAGGGTGCATGGCTGAGGGCTACCGTCGGATCAGGACCGTCAACGGTCGGAGATCATTGGGGGCCATTTTTTGTGTATCTTGAGGTGCTCTTCTTCATATTCATCCGTCCGTTGAGCAAGGCACAGTCCTAGTCGGGCAGAGGATCTCAATCCAATTTTTTTAGGATATATATAGTGTGTACAGTGGTGTGTATTAAAGTGTGTACAAAGAGCAAATCTCTAAAAAAAACGAGAATTGTTACTCAAGTGAATTTTTTACTAGAGATGGTTTGGACAGAAAAGAGGAGTGCAATTGTCTTAGCAATTAAAAAAGAAATTCAGAAGAGGATTGACAAAAATCAAATCTTGACCTTTGATTTAATAAGTGGACATATGCCATCACCCTATTTAGGGTTGGTTTGCAACTCCTTTAAAAAAAAACATTTCTCAACTTTTGGCTTTAAAAAAACACTTATTTTCCCAAACACTACGAGCCCGTTTGGTAGAAGGAAAATCGGCTGGTTTGGCTGATTCTGCTGAAATTTCTGAAGTTTTGGCTGAAGTGGCTGCATTGGCTGATTCTGCTGATTTAAGAAAAAAATATTTTTAAAATATATTTTATTAATAAAATAAAGAAAAAATTATATGTAAAAATAGCTAAAATGGTCATCTACAGTAACTTCAGCCAATACAGCCAGAAAAGTAACTCTAACCTTACTTTTTCTGCTTATTACACAATTCAGCACGCTAAAGCAAAAATTACGTGTTTGGGTGAAAAGTTGGCTGATAAGCCTGATAAGCCGAAAAGGGGTGTTACCAAACGGCACCTACAACTTTTATTTTTCTCGGCTTCCGCGTCAAAAGTGCTTTTACTTTTCCTAGTACACAAAAAGCACTTATTTTACCAAACACTACCCACTTTTACTTTTCAAAATCACTTTTTTCTCAAACATTATCAACTTTTATTTAATCACTTATCCTCATTTCATTAGAAAAAACACTTTTTTAAAAGCTGTTGCAAACCCAACTCTTAGGGAGTGTTTGTAATTGCTTCAACTTTAAAAAAGTAATTTTTTAAAGTGATTTTGAGAAAAGTGATTAATAGTAAAAGTTGGTAGTGTTTGAGGAAAAAGTGATTCTGAAAAAGTAAAAGTTGGTAGTGTTTGGTAAAATAAGTACTTTTTGTGTAATAGAATAAGTGAAAAGCAGTTTAAAGCACCCTTCCATCTGCTTCCAGCTTTTAGTTTTTAAGTGATTAATTTAAGCAGAAACTGTTATTTGAAAACACTCTTTTTAACTTTTTTTAAGCCAAAAGCTGAAAAATGCTTTTTTTAATCAACCCCAAACACTCAGAGGAGCCGGACTCCTGGAGAACCCACCTTTGTTTTAACCCATCCTTTGATCTCTTCGTCAAAATACCCATCCTTTGATCTCTTCGTCAAAATAAATGGAAATGGGCAATGACGGCGGTACCGGCAGTACTGTGAAAGGCGGCAAGACAGTGGAAGAATGCCAGCGCATGATTCAGAAGAGCCTCAGAAGTAAATATCTGCTTTCACGGTCCTTTCAAGTTTTACCCCTCTTGATTTTCAATCTGTTATAGAAATGCGTTTCCTCCTTTTCTTTGGCAACACTAAAATGTGCACTCCAGTTCCAATGGTGAAGTTTCTGAGGGAGCGTGTAGAGAAAGCTGGATGCGGAGTAGGTGAGAATTTCTTCAAGGCTATACGTTGTGACCGGAGTGTTGGTGGTGGGTATGCTCCAGGCGAAGGGGTAAATCATCCTCTTCTCATCCATCACCAATAATCATAATATTCAATCTCTACTGTTTCATTTCGTGGTTGTATTGTTCCCATCACGATTTAGGGTAGCTATAATCGCCAATAAACTGAACAAGTAACTTTTCCCTTTTTTGGCTTCAATTGATATTACAAAACATTTTAAACCCAGTTTAGTCACCGATTTCATCCATTTAGCTCTTACCAAGAGGGCCCTTTGTTTAACAATCAGTTTATGGAATTATGGACGCACAATGATTTCAGTTTCTACAGATACCAGTTATTTATTTTTCTAGCACCCTTTATCCCAGATCATATTTTCCCTAAATTTATGTAAACTATAACAGCAATTTAGGTGGGTAGATACAAAATGGACGGAGGGGTTCACTCTGCGTCATTCATCACATCCAAGAATCTGGAGGAGAGGGCTTTTCAAGGACTTGGTCTATGTCTTGATGAATAGAATGTTTTCTCAAACAAATAAATGTGATTGAAGTGACATACTATATTACTATCACACACAGAGTATTATGTTAAATTGTAACTTTCAATTTTTACAAAATGTCAAAAGCAAGATATAGACTTGGCCATTAAAAGTCCTCCAACCAAACAAACCCTAAGGGGTGCAATGGTTGTACTATTGTTGAAAATTGCCCTTGTCAACCCCTAATGTTCTAAGAAATATTTCAGCAGCTTTAGACCATCAACTTCCTTGGTGTTAGAATGTTTTTCTTTTTAAGGCTTTCATCAACTTCTAGAAAATTTTGCCAGATTCCGGCGACCAGCAGAAGCTCCGGTGACTGGTGGCTGGCCTGCAGGGGTATTCTTGCCCAACCTTTTTAGGGAATTTAAAAAACGTACTCTTATTTTTGCACTTTGTCCATGTTTTTACTCGGGGAATTATCTCTAGAAAATAATGTTTACATGGGGTGTGGATTTGCTTTTCTTATTCCAGGTAGTTGTATGTAGTAACCACATGAACATTCAAGATGAGGTAAACCAAGTAGTCATCCATGCACTGATTCACGCATATGATGACTGTCGTGCTAATATAGATTGGAAAGATTGTGCTCATCTTGCTTGCAGTAAGGTTTGTCATCTACACGTTTCTCCATTTTTCTGTGTTTGTGGTGGGGGGTGGGGGTGGGTTGAAATTTGAATTTATACCAACTTTCCTCTTAACTCATCTTCTATAGATTAGAGCTAACCATCTCAGTGGTGATTGTCATTACAAAAGGGAGTTCCTTCGAGGCAATTTAAAGATAAGAGGTCATGAACAAGTGAGTTATACTACTATACCCCTCAATCTCAGATTGTTTGTCCTGGTTTACCATTTTAGTCTTTTCTGAAGGGTTGACCTCATACCGATTTGGCATATATAACCAATTTATAAGATAAAACTACCCCTACTTTTATACCTTTAATTACTTTTTACCCAAAAGTTTGGTTTGTGCATGTAGTTTGGAGCTTTACAAATGCAAATTGCCGTATATACTAAATTACTCCATTTTCGTGTGCCCAAATTTGTGCGTAGCTTGGTCTTTAGAAAATTTCATCTTTGTGAAGCTTGGATGATGGTCCCACCTTATCTTCAGCTCCTTTGTGAAGCTTGGTTATTACTTTTTCTTATCTAATCAAAAGCAAACCAGACACAAACATTCTAATGAGACCAAGCTAAAAAGACATACCAAATCAGATAAAATACGCTCAGATCAGACCCGATCATATTACGTCAAACCATAGCAGAAACATTGTTTACAAACCAGATCAGATCTTAAAAGTTCAAATCTGATCAAATATTCTATGCCAGGAAAACGTGTTCTATTTTTGGGGCATACAACGCCTATTAGTTCATTTATATTAACCTTGTCCTTCCACTGTAACATTTGAAGGAGTGCGTGAGACGACGAGTGATAAAGGAGCTGAAGCCTCACTTCAGTGAAACAGCTGCCCAAGATGCTATGGAAGCTGTGTGGGAGACTTGCTATAATGATACTGAGCCCTTTGATAGAGCTCCATAAATTGTGTAGGCTGTACTTCATAGAATAAAATGCTTTTGACATGATGTCAAATGTCTAATAGCTGTAGCGGATATGCATGCTCCTAGACTAGGAAAATTCCTTCCCTTATTTCTGGATGGGAATATGGGATGCCTTATTCCTTTTCCATTAAACTTTATGCTCTTATCATTTGAAGTTAAGTTCTTAGAGTCGTTCTATTCTTTTTCATTTTTTCTCGTTTCTAAGGCTGCAAAATATCGCTGGTCCGGACCGAAATCGGGACCGGAACTGCCCGATTCGGTCCCCAAATAGGTGAACCGGGACCGGGTACACCTCTTGAGTAGTTGAGTGTACAGGTCCGGTCCCAGGCAGGGGTGGATTCGGGTCGGGCCGGGTCGGGTCTAGGCCCGGGCGGGCCGGCGGTTTAGAAAAGGTGGACCCGGGACCGGCCGGGTAGCCACTGGGTCCGGGCCGGGCCTCCGGTTTGGTAATTTTTTTTTTGCTTTCCTAACCCCCCCTCACTCCCAACCCCTCCTAACCATCAAGCCCAACCTGGGTAAAACCCCAAAAAATGAAAAAAAAAAATCAATTTGGCCCGGACCCGACCCGGCCGCGCCGGTTCGCGAAACGTAAGACCCGAGCCCGGACCCGCCCCCTCCCCCGGGCCTAGGCCCGACCTGGACCCGAGAACCGGGCCGGTCCCGGTCCCGCACAGTAGTGGGCCGGTCCACGGGCCGGGTGGCCTGAATCCAGAAATTCTGGATCTGGTCTGGTCCCAAATAGTGCTGGATGAGGTCCACCCCTACTACTTCTGCTGCTATGTTACTCGCTGCGAGAAGACATTTAATTGTGTGGTGGGCGCCCTCCTCTCCCAGATCGATCAAAGCAAAGATGCAAAATTATGCATTGGAAATAGAGGTAATGGCGCAACGCCATCTCAACTAGTGGTGGAGTCGGTTCGGGCCACCCGGCCTGACCCGCTACTGTGCGGGCCCGGAACAGGCCCGGCGGTCCGGGACCAGGTGTTGTCCCGAACCGGGTGGAAAGCGGGGTGTGGGCTCGGTTTCGCAAAAGGGTGACTCGGCCCGGCCCGGCCCGGCCGGGTCGGGCCCGGGTCCCCAACGGCTAGTTTAAAAAAAAGGCAAAATTGATAATAATAATCTCTACGTCTACCAATTAAACAAAAATAATACCAACTTCTAACTTTTACAATAATAATTAGTCCTGGACTCGGGTCCAGGCCGGGTCTAGGCCCGGGCGGGCCGCCGGTTCTGTATAGGTGGGCCCAGGACTGGCCCGGGTAGCCACCGGGTCCGGGTCGGGCCTCTGGTCAATTTTTTTTCCCTTTTTGTAATCAACCCCCCCCACCCCCAAACCACCCGAAATGGCCCAAAATACCCAACCCAACCCGAAAAGTTAAAAATAAGAGAGATAATTAGTAGTATTAGTATTAGTATATATATAATTAGTAGGAAAAATCTACGGTACATGGATTAATTTCTAGGGTACGGTGCATTTGCTTACTTGGGCAAATGAAGTAAGAACATGTGTATTACTACGTAAAACATATACGGAGTATTTATAAAATGAGATGGGCCACTATTGAACTCAATTTTTATAAAGTATTTGCTCTGCAGTCCTTTTATTGACTATTCCTATACGGCGTAGAAAGATGAATTATACATATACGGTGTGAAAAAATGATTAGTTATTTCACCAATCAAGCGAAGCAGGTGATAGAGCATGGCGACTGGTTGGGTTGAATTTACATTTTTAATGTAATTCAACAATCTATCCCAAAACAATCTTTTTTAGTGTTAGTGATATGAATTGAAGAGACGTAACAATCATAAAAAAGCTGATGACTTTCATTTCATAGGAGTAAAATTCTGTAGAATTCGCCGGTGAGAACAAAACAGCGTTGCAGTCTTTCCTTCCCTGATGCATTCACGCGGAGAACCTTTGCACTTGAGTCAGTCGTGCATTCACTTGAACCGTCAAAACACACGTTAATCATAGGGACCAAAGAGCAAAATCATTACTCTTTAAATTAAGTAATACGGTACAGTTTTATCTATGTGTCTAAAGACTCCATATGCATCACTCTTATTGGTCCACTTAGGCAGATGTACGGTACCTTCTTAATTTTAAGAGGTACCGTAGAAGTACCCTAATTAGTATTATTAGTATAGTATTAGTACTCACTTAAAAACCAGTACGGCATGTCAAGAGTATATATATAATCCTCATGGTCACAATGAAGCACCACCCATACGTTTAATTATATTAAAATCTAATTAATATCACTTAATGCTAAAAGTTGATGAACGTTGCAACCAGCAAAACGTCCCAAGGATCAAAACGTTCCAGGATTGTTATACTCTAATAAAGAACATGGGGTAAGTGCCTAATATCACTTAATATTATATTGGTAATAATCATAAGTGCCTAATCACGATAGAAAAAAAGTTAAGTCAAATTAATACTACATATTAAGTTAATTAATTGTTTAACGTTTAAATAATAATAACTTTTAAGTCCTAATAAAATTTCTCACAAATTAATTAAAATCTTATTCATTTGAAATACTTCAAAAATCCAACATACCGAACTGACCTGTAATGGTACCAAACCGAATATGGAGTATTTAAACGGTTCTATAGATTTTTATCCCGAACCGAATCCGTACCACTTGAAACGGGTACGGGGCATGTTCTAGATTTTGAGAAAATACATTTAAGATTTATACTACCTCCGTTCTTAAATATTTGCAACATGTTGAATTTTACACTATTCATATGTTCTACTTTGACTACGTTTTATTTATTAATATATTAATATATATTTTTTTTTGAAAAAAATATTGTTAAATTTGTCTCATTGTAAATTTTCAAAATCTAATTTTTTAAATTTTTTTACTCATAGAAAATTATATATATTGACGGTCAAAGTTGTGTCTCGACAAATGTGAAATGTTGACCGTTGCATTTATTTAAGAACGAATGAAGTATATTTTTCTCATTAAAAAAAGATTATAACTTTAAACGTTAAATCAATTTTAAACAAATACGTAGTAGCATTTTTATATAATTTGAGTTCTTATATCTACCTACTTTTTACGTAAGTGAAAGCCTCTAAACCATATTACATTAAAGGATTGTTTTAAATTACTGTAGTGCAATGCATTAACATACGCATGGCTTAGAGCGAGCAGGAGTTTTTTTTAGAATGTTTGCACTCTCACCATACATCTATGCAGTGGCGTATTCATAAACTTTGGTGAGTGGGGGCAAACTTGACTACAATTTAGTCTCATATTTCACAAATAACAAATCACATTATTAATATTGTTTGATTAAATTTAGTTTATAATATCTATGCACAAGTATGAAAAAAGAAGAAGATTAATTTATATTACGGGTGTGTAAAGATGTAATTGCAAATAAAATGTAATAAATTTACCTAAATATAAGTTAAACAGTCTTAAACATAACATAATTTAGTGAATTTTTTAGCCTTTCATTCTTTTAATATTAAAGAAAACACTTCTAATCCTATTTTAGATTTTTTTCCTACATTTAACTCTTAATTTGAGTAATTTCTTGTAAAAATTTGGACATATATATAGGGGTTGGGTTGGGGTTGAGTGGGGGCAGCTGCCCCCGCTGCCTCCATAATAGATACGCCACTGCATCTGTGCATCTAATTCTTTTATAACCTTTAACTAGTTTTTTTACACGCGCGTTGCGCGATCGGCTAAATGCCCAATATTATTTATGTCCAATTGATTTTTCTAGTATTTAGTCGGGATGGAAGTAAACTGTCTAAATAACATATAATCTGAACAAACAACTGCATAGTTGAAAGATATTAGGAGTAATAAAGCAACATCATGGTTGTCAATTACACTTTAGAATCTTAAACCATGAGTAATGAATAATCAAGGTGCTTGAATACACTCATTGTTTATATTCAATAAAACTAAGATATATGCACAACAAGATGTAGAGATATATGCACAACAAGATGTATTGCATAGTCACCATTTGTCATTTATTGAGAAACAAAACAGATTTGTACAATGACCAATTATAATCTGACTTTTACAACAACTTATCACATACTACTATAGCTTAGAGTAAATGAGTTTAAATGCAACAACCCTTTGCTTGTGCCCAACCACAGTTTGATCAAGATGTCATTGTGGTCAATGAAGGCATGGAGCTGAACAAACATTGATAAGATGATAGATCATTCGGCTACACCTAAAGAAGCAACTTCATTAAATTAGTGGATATATGTACACCGTAAGAACACTTAAATATTACTGACACTTAAATTTTTCCTGACACTTGCACTGTCAATAAAATTCTCTGAGCATATGTTTTACATATCAGTTTCGTAAACCATTGATGAATTTGTTATAAGCAATGTTTTTATTTGTTTTTTGAAGAACTCTGAAATTAAAAAATGGACATTTTAATGTTAAAAAGCAAAAAAATCCTATTTTTTGTGAATTTTCTTAAAAAATGTTGTTCCCGAGGGTGACAAAGGGGAACAACATTTTTCTCTTTTTCTTGCTTTTGGCCTGTGAAGCCTCTCTATTTTAAGGTCCCAACCCATTTTCCAAAGAGTTTGCTTTGCTTTTGGCAAACAATCCCTCATTGTTGTCTGCAATGCACCAAATTAAGAGTTCAAATGTTCATTTGAAACACTTTAAACTCTGTATAATCCCCTAATGAATCATTCCAGGACACACCAATATACCTCTGAAAGTTGTTGAAGCATATCTAATGCGGTTCATCACTCAATTGGAGATTGGGTTGAATGTGGGGAAAATGTGAAAATTTTGGTCATTTGAAGTACAACAGAAGTATAAAATCAATCATTCTTTTTAGCCATAATAACATTAAGAATTAAGAGCTACGGATAAATGGGTTATTACAAAGATGTTTAACAATTAACATCTTACTCCGTACTTCATAAAGTTTACTGGTAGCAGCTCCTTTATACGTTATTGAATACTTACTCTATTTGAATAGCCACCCGAGCTCTCTTGAAATCAACTCTTATTGTACCAATTTTTCTAAAATATACAGAAGACAAAGTACTCCGTATAAAATAAGCCACTCCTAACATATAACCAAAAGCAAACACTACCGTGCCTGATATAATTGCAAGCAGGGGACAGGTTCAATCATATGCATCATTTTTTTTTCTGGAGTTCATCAAGGCGGGTGCATCGTCCAATCCGGAGATAGCAGCGATATCGCTATTGATGAAGGAGAGACCTCAAATGGTCAATAAGCGTTTGCGACAAAGATAAGGCATAAAAGAAGTTTCTCTGTGGGAGGTGATTTGGAGTGGGCATCCGGCGGAATCGAAGAAGAGAAGAGACGAAGAGGTGAGAAATTGGGGGTAGGATAAAGAGAAGAGAAGAAGAGACGCATGCGGGCGATTAATTTTGGAGATTTGATAGGCTTTGACGGCAAACCTAACCCCGTCACCTGTTTCTCTGCCCAGAGACTTAAGGCTCTCATCTCAATATACCTAGGGTACAAGTAGCTAATGCACAACGAGCGACGAACATTTTTTTGAAGACCAATATGTCCCTAACAATATTCATGCTTATATAATTGTAGAGATAGTCTATAAAAGGAACCTACACAAACAGGCAAACAGCCTTGCAGATCCTCTGCGTTGTGCTAGAAAAATTGCCGGAATGGCCTTCAAGTGAAGCAGCCGGACAAACTGTTCAAGCCTAGGTTTCTTACCCTAGGCGCCGCCCCGCTAGAGCTGCACATCAAGTGGGTTGGGTTGGATTTGCTATATGTTTTGAACCTATCCAATTTTTTCGGGGTTGACTATTTACCAACCCGGCCGCGGTATGAAATATAAGTTGGTAAACCATGCATGAACGGGTCGGGTAGGGTCGGGTATTGAAAAGAATTTATTTCGGGTTGAATCTTTAATATGGACAACTAGTTTATAAGAGTAAACCATGCATGCAATATGAATCTCGGTTAACTTGTTTCCAAAATAAACAAACAAATACAAGTACTTTTTATAAGAGTAAACTTAGGAAAATAGTGTCAAAACATTCTTACTTAAAGAAAATTAATCTAGAAGCAAATGTATATATATATACAGAAAAGATCAGGTCCCTCCGGAGGGACGGGAGGGACCGTCCGAACATTACTGTTTGGGGCGGTTCCCGATGGAATTTTTTGATGAAATTTTTTGAGCATGTTCCTCATCAAGTCTAGTTTGTCCATACCAAATTTCAGCTCAAAATTCGACCGGGAAGGCAGTCAAATAAATTCTTGAAACTTACTGCACATTCTGCGCATATATAAAGTGCAGTAAGCTTCAAGAATTTATTTGACTGCCTTCCCGGTCGAATTTTGAGCTGAAATTTGGTATGGACAAACTAGACTTGATGAGGAACATGCTCAAAAAATTTCATCAAAAAATTCCACCGGGAACCACCCCAAACAGTAAAGTTCGGACGGTCCCTCCCGTCCCTCCGGAGGGACCTGAGCAGTCCTCTATATATATATATATATATATATATATATATATATATATATATATATATATATATATATATATATACTAATCACCTAGTCAAAATGGTAAATATTTTATAATGCTAAAATCATAGTCTTAGATAGAGCACAACGGTCTTCAATAGAAATTATCCAACTAAACTTTGTAGCATAAAAATAATAAAATGAACTTTCGGCCGGGTCGGGTACTATCGGGTTTGAGATTTTAATTCCGCAAACCTACCCATTACGCGCGGGTTCGTATATATTAACCTGTGAATATTTTTAAAAATCAAATACCCGACTAAAAGTGATCGGGTAGGGTTGGGTCGGGCGAGTTATGCGGGTTCAGGTTATTCTTGTGCAGCCCTACCGCCCGCTCTTTCTCTCTTAGTACACTTAGAATTAATGGAATCAACTTGTTCATTTATAAGTATATATATGGAGTATCATCGTATTATTACTAAACTTTTTATTATGCTAATTTTATAATTTAATACCAATACTTATTTTTTTAAAACGTTATACTCATTTCTTTTAGAGTTTTTGCCATTTTTGGTCCCCCAACTATTGTGTCTTTGACACTTTTGGTACTCGACTTTTAATTTTTTCAATTTTAGTCCTTGACTATTGTGCTAGAGACATTTTTAGTCCTCAACTTCAAAGTTTCTCATATTTAGCCCCAGAGTATTATCAAATTGACACTTTTAGTCCTTCAACTATGATTTTGACACAATAAATGGAGGACTTAAAATGTCATTATTACAATAGTTGAAGGACCAAAAATATCACTTTTATAAAAGTCGGAGGACTAAATATGAAAATTTTCGAAGACGGGTACCAAAAGTGTCTTTGACACAATAGTCAAGGACTAAAAATGAAAAAAATCAAAATCGAGTACCAAAAATGTAAATAATATAATAGTCGGAGGACTAAAAATGGCAAAAACTCATTTCTTTTAACATAAATAAAATACTCGAAGTTAGGGTATAACCGAGTGTAGAGTATAATTTGGACTAGAGTGGACAAGATTTTTGGAAATGCCTATGTAACGAGCGGTGGTTATTGGTTGGCAGCAGGAAGGTGACGCTTATAGGGGCTGTATCAGCCTGTATGTAATGACAAGCTCTTTCCCTAGCCTGCTTGTCTTCTTAAAAATCGTACGAAAGCGAAAATTATCACTTTTTAACTCTTGCGTTTGATTCATGTATTGGTTGATTGGATACCCGATGGCATGAAATTTTGAGAAACTGTAAAGCGAGGCTCAAACGAGCATGTGTACGGGTTCGGACCCGAGGCCGGATGGGAGTCAGAACGGGTGGGGTAGGGCCCAGGGAATGGTTCTGAAGACGCTGGCTTTGATCGGCGGGGCACTTCTGATAAGGCGGTTCACCAAGTCCACCACCCGTTGGGATCACTCCCGGATTGTGGCTCAGTCCCTCAGCGGGGAAAAGGTTAGAGTTATTCTTCTTCACCTGCATTCAAATGTGTTTGTTGATTCCCCCCCCCCCCCCCCCCTTTCGAGTGTGTTCTGTATTAGAATTCTCATGGTTTACTTTGTAGTTTTCTAAAGAGCAAGCTGCCAGAGACCCAGATAGTTACTTCAATTTGAGGTGCTAATTTCTTCACTCATTGATTCTTTCATTGACTTATTCCACATGCTTAGAACCTGTGTGGTGAGATCTTAAACGGCTCACATGATTGGGCTTGAGTTGTAGGTAGTAGTTTTTTTGGTTGCACGGGCTGAATTTTCTGAATTTTGTTCTAAATAACAATTGAACGAAAAATGTATATTTCATTAATGTTAAAGAAATTAATTTCTATAGATAAGTCGAAGTATCCATTTCAACTCTTTCAGCAACTTAAGTGGATAATCTGCAATATATTTTTTCAGTATCATTCAGCCAGATCAAGAAGTGGGGTGAAATAAATTAGTGTTTGTCAAAACAACTAGCTAATAGATCCAAAAGAAACCTTCCAAGCAGGTTCTTTAGTTGCTTAGATTTAGTGAGTTCTACTATCCTAAGGTCATGTTTTTAGTCTTATGTATCAAAAGAATATCGAGCTCTTTTGGAGTTGCGAACTTTATGCAATTATGCGCAGTTCTGGTTCTGCTTATCAATGAATCTGTCTTAACGTTTCTTATATGGATAGATGGCTTTCGTGCTCAGCAGCTGACATGGTAGATGACTCAAAGGTTTTATATATGGAGCAGGTAATTGTCCACACATTCTGACACATCTAATCATCTAAAGCATTTCCACCCTTAGAAATTCTTTAGGATCTGTCTGGATGGTGGTTTTGAGGTATTTTGTGGGAAATGTCGGGTGTATTTAGTCTTAACCTTTATAAACTGAACATTTCTGAAAGGAAAAGACACATTTTAGCCAAATAAGTAAAAGTCTGAAGCCACTTATTTTGATTTCTTGCTGGTATTTAGAATGACCCAAATGAGGCTACCAAAAGAGGCCTGAAATATTATGTGATCGCATGTTGTTCTTAACATTAAGTTAACTTGTTTCTTTTCTAAGACTGCAGATATGTATATTAAGATATAAGCCCTCCCAAGTCCCTTTGTCCATCCATCCAAATAGAGCCTTAATGGATCACTTTTTTGTTGCTAGGCATTCCAGAGAACACCTCACAAGCCTTTTCGTCAGGTAAGCCACATACATATTGGAACATTCCGTTTGAAATATCTGGCTTCCCTATTTGTTCATGAACGAGAATATCTAACCACTTGCAAAACCTTCTCCGCTGCAGAGATTCTTTATGGTCAAACCTTGTCCGAAGGAGATGAAATGTGATGTTGAGGTAGGGCAGTGTCCAACTGTCCGTCCTCTTTCTTTTTCTCTTTTTTTTTTGTGATTTTTCATTTATTATGTATGGGTTTTCACTACTTGTGATAAATTTATCAAAATAATAATAATTATTAATTTTAGTTTGCATTTACAAACATATATAATCTGAGCAGGTTAACACATATGCCATCAGAGATGCAGAGGAGTACAAAAACTTCTGCGATCGCCCTAAGGACCAACGACCACAGCCTGAAGAAGTTATTGGGGTAAATTTAAATCTCAATTTCAGTTGATGTTTTAATTTCCTGCCTTTTTTCTTGAAGATGCATTGTAATGTTGCATACAACTTGATGTATTTAAATAATAATTCTATGGAAAAGCATGGTCTTGGAATTTTCACGTTGCGATAGCGATATTTGACTAATGAGAATGTGTGCAATAGTTTTGGTCATTGTACAAAGGGGTGGAACCCGAGAATTTTATATTCAGGAATGGACGAAGTTTAAGCTTCATACCTAACATATTTTTCATAGATTATAATTATTTATATTGGAGATACATACAAAAAACTGGGTAGGCCATACCTCCTCCCCCTCTTATGGTTCTCATAGACGAATAATCACAATAATATTAGCAACATCTTGCTGATAAGAGAAACACTTCAGCTTTGAAAATATTCTATCATGGACCGTTCTAAAAGTACTTAAACACTGTAAGGTCTTACAATATGCATACGTGTAAGGATCCAGCTTCAGAACTTTCAGAACATATTATATCACTTTTCTATCAAAGATATTCACATGAACCACATATGCATTTTGTAACACTTGGTAAGTGCTTTTCTATGTATGAGCAACTTTCCTAACACTCTGTTTTAACACAGGAGGATAGTGCGGGATATATATAATTTAGTCGAAATCATCATCTACACCTAAATCCCAACTAGTTAAGAAATTTAAGTGTCAAATTATTGTCAAAAAATAGTATCATTATTAGTTCATGCAAAAAAATGCATATAATTTATTTGGAATAACAGGTACTGTTAAAAGTTGCAGGACATTGCTGAACATTTGACTACCATTCATCTTAGACGTTGTGAACGTGGAAAACGGTGCTTATATGAAGGATCAACACCTGCTGATGGATTTCCTAATACATGGGTATATTACCCCCTTAATCTTTTGGCTGATTCTAATGTTGTATATCACGATTTCAGTTTTTATTTCCTTTTTATGACAGAATGGCGCATCGTATTGCACGGCAGAGCTCGCACTGCTCAAGAACAATGAGATACATTCTTGGGATAGAGGCTATGATGAGAGTGGAAATCAGGTAGAGTGCTTTATGGATTACAATTGTTCAACGGGGAAAGGCTGCTCGTTTATTTTTTCTGAATAAGATTTGGCCGCGTTTGAAATTAAACCATATTCATGATAAGTTATAGCCCATCCAACTAATAGAGCAAAACACATAAACCTTGTGTATCAAGTTTAATATAAACATAGGAAATTCTCCTGGCATTCTTCTCTATGTGTTTGACTCACATCCCACACATCACGGTGAAGGTACGAACACTCCCCCGGCTCACATTTCCTTGTTTCTATTTCGGAAAGTCAAAAGTGTGTCGAAAACTTCGAATTCTCATTTTGGGGCCTTCGAATCCACCTTGTTCTGATTCTATGAGAGATATCTCCATCTAATTCACCATCCTTCTAAATTATGGAGTCCAAGTAACGAAATATATCACACACCGGTATGTAAGTCTGAAATCATTGGTCTCTAATGGTTGCCTCCATACTTCCAACTTTGCTTTAACACCGGTACAAATAAGAAAGGAGTGAGAGCCGATCCGTGGTGCACTCTGATAGTAATAGAGAACTCTGAAGTACTCCCTCCCTACACTAGTACGGGCACTTGTAGTACAAGCCTCATAAATATTCATGATGATACTGATATACTTACGTGATATGTTTTTCTAGTTAAGGTCCACCAAAGGACTTCTCGATGTACCCTATCATATGTATTTTGTAAGTCAATGAACAACAAATGCAAATCTCTTTTAGTATCTCGTTACTTCTCTACAACATGTCTAAGAATGTGAATGACCTCAATTGTTGAGTGTCCAGGCATAAGACCAAATTGATTCTTCGAGATTTTCACTTTTTTCGGAGTCTTTACTCAACCACTTGCTCCCAAAGTTTCATGGTGTGACTCATAAGCTTAATCTCTCGATAGTTGGCACATTCTTGTACATTACCCTTATCTTCCGCTAACTCACTAATATTTTGTTTCTCCAAATCAATGTTGAAGAAACGTGTTAGCCACTCCATGTTTCTTTCTCCCAAACTTTTTCATGCCTGGATCGGGTATGCTATTTGGAGTTTGGACCCTCTGCTTTCTTTCGCCCCATCTTTCTCAGAGCCACTTTAACTTTAACTTCTGCCGTGTATATCCTTTTCACAAAGTCCCAATTTACCATACAATCTAGTATAGTAAGATCATCAATACCTTGCTGAAAAACAATTAATATTATATCCTTATGTTTTTAATATTCACGCGTTTCCACCACGTTTCTTATCCTATATTATTTAAATCACGTTTCTCGTGTTTCCCGTTTCGTGTTACCTATTTCACGTTTCTGTACTAAGTTTATTTGTTCTTCCTTATTTTTATGTATTTTCTTTCCTTAATTTTGAATGTAAAGACTATATCTTCTTTCTTTATTTCTATCTTCATTAAAAAGTCTCTTTATCTCACATTTTCTTCTTTTATGCCACTTTTTTTTAATTCTCTCCTAAATTTTTTTCTTTATATTTGTTTCTTTCTCTTTCTGACATGTTTATATTTTAAAGAATTTGACTATTGCTTATACTTTATATTATATGGACGGCGCAACTTCAAATGTTATTAGGAATGCTGAAACAAATATTGCTAATGGGGATATCAATTCATCTTTTAGTGATGAATGATCATTGATCGTCGTGGCTTGTGAATTGGGCTAGAATCTAAGTTTCAATTTTAGTTTTATAATTGAAGACTTAAGTTATGATTTCTAAAATAGTGTTTTGTTCTTGTTAGTCACGACTTTTAAAATGCATTTAGTTCAACATCAAAGGGCAACCCGGTGCACTAAGGCATCCTAGCAAGTTGAGGGTTCAGGGATGGGTTCCATCACAAGGGTGTATGAAGGGCAAACCTTCCCCTGTCAACTTCTGACAAGAGACCGCTCCCAAGACTTAGAACCTGTGACCTAGTTCAACATTATTATGAATATATCATGTTCTATAATTCTAGAATGCATAATATTTTCTTATCACTATATTTGCAATGAGCCAGGTGAGAGTTTTTTTGCGCCTCAAGCAAAAGAGTACTCTAGCGTTTTGAGCGTGTCTCGTGACGTTGACTACCTTGATCGTCAACAATTGCAATGCCTTCAGGCTAGTGGTTGATTTTGGCTTATTCTACTTATCAGTAGTGAATAAACAGAATCAATAACTTTTGTCTTTCTTTTTTTTATGAAAGGAATGTTATCAAATATTATCCGGTCATTTAAGCCGAACATGCCTTACCAAATAGGCTCCTAGTCCTAATTATTATTTTTATTTAACATTGGAATGAACAAAAGCATATTGCAGGATTTTTATTGGGAAAACTGTCAAATAGGTCCACGTACTTTGAACGAAAAGTCAATTGAGCCCACATACTTTTTATCCGATCAATCAAGTCCGCAAACTATTAAAATATAACCAAGACAAAAGTTCATGTCCGGAATTCCGGACAGGAACCGCCGTCCGGACGGCGGCGTTTGGCCGCCTTCCCGGTGGAATTTTTTGATGAAATTTTTATGGAATGTTCTCCATCAAGTCTAGTTTATCCACAAAAAAATTCAGCCAAAAACTCAATCGGGAAGGTCGTCAAATGATTTTTGCAAGTTAACTGGTCCGGAATATGTATTTTCCGGACCAGTTAACTTGCAAAAATCATTTGATGACCTTACCGAATGAGTTTTTGGCTGAATTTTTTTGTGGATAAACTAGACTTGATGGAGAACATGTCATAAAAATTTCATTGAAAAATTCCACCCGGAAGGCGGCCAAACGCCGCCGTCCGGACGGCGGTTCCGGTCAGGAATTCCTGACCGGAAGAGTACTCATATAACCAAATCTACTATTTAGCAGGTAGCCAACCGGTTACCCGGTTAACGGCTTACATGGAAGTCCAAGCTGCCACTTTTTTATTGTTTTCTAATTTTTTTCAATTTTCTTTTCCTTTTTCTTTTTCCTTTCTTCCTTTTTCTCTTTTCTTTCTCTTTCTTCTCTTCTTCCTGTCCGCTGAATACACTCCCTCTTCACCATTTCCATTTTTTCTTTCTTGTCTCCACCTGACATCCATTCCTTTCTTCCATTTTTACTCCCTCTGCCACCTCCCGATGGAACGAATTCTGTCTCCCAGACCTCTCAAGCCACCACCTCCGCCGCCGGGCCTCCATAGCCACCGCCTCCGGCCTCCACCTTCGCCGTCCATCCTACACACCGCCTCCGGCCACCACCTCTGTGGCGTTCACTTTCACCTACTCTATTGGAGCAACCTCCAGCGGCCCCGACCTCCATAGCTACGACCTCCGCCGCCCAGACCTCCTTACACACCGCCTCCAGCTACCATCTCCATGGCCTACACCCCCGCCTCTTCCACTAAAGCGACCTCCAACCACTCTGGCTTCCATAGCCGTCGCCACCTCTGCGGCCTCTAAGTATGCCTCATCAAGTCAATCAAACTCTGCTGCCTCAGCCTCCATTTCTGATAGATCGAGAAGTAACAGATGGAGTGACGTTGCAGACACAGGAACGAAACAAGGAAAGAGAAAAGCAAAAGAAATAGAAAAAAAATGAAAAGGATAAAATATATTTAAAAAAATAGAAAATAGGAAAAAAAAGCAAGTGGACGTTACAACCGGAGAACCGGTCGTTTACTAGCTAAATAGCCAATTTGATTATTTTCTAATACTTCACGGACTTAATTGATTCATTAAATAGTACATGAACTCAATTGATTTTTTTGTAAAAGTAGATGGACATATTTGACAGTTTTCCCATTTTTATTTAACATTGGAATGAACAAAAGCATATTGCAGGTCTGGGGTGTGAAGGAAGGACCATATGAATTCAAACCAGCAGTAGCTTCTAACTCTGGTGACCTTTCTACTGTGATGCTTCCCACTTCGGCCTCCATTGATAAAAGAATAGAGGGTTCCTTTATTCATGATTGATTGATAATTTATGTTGTTTTCTATTGTTGTCATGTAAATTCGAACTCCTCTCAATGTTTGTCATTACATATTCCATTTAATTTCAACAATTTCAATTTTTTATATCAGTTTCAAATGCAACATTCTCACTTAGTTTTTTCTTGCAATGTTCTAAAAAACTTTGTACCCTATTCGTGAAGATAAATGGGGCCTTGTACAGTGTCAGGTAAGGGTGGTCCTTAGGTAATGGAGCCGGTCTGACCTGCTACTGTGCGGGCCCGGACCGGGTGACCGGTACCGGGCTTAGGCCCGACCCAATGGATATTCCGGGGGCGGGTCCGGGACTTGAAAAATGCGGACCAGCTTGGCCGGTCTGGGCCCGGCCCGTTTTTTTTTTTTTGGTTTTTTTGGGTTTGGGCTGGGTTTAGGTGGGCTGGGTGTTTTCGAGAGGTTTGGGGGATGGGGGGGGGGGGGGGGGGGGTTGGAATAAATAAGAAAATCCGGAAAAAAAAATTAAACTGAACTAGCCCAGCCCGGAACCGGTAGACTCCCTGGCCGGTCTTGGGTCTTACCCAAAAAAATCCAAGCCTGGTTGGGCCCAGGCCTGAACCAGAACTGGATCGGGCCCGGTCCACCGCTCCTGGTGGATCCCTCCCTGATATCAAACGTGCCGCTTCCTAGTCCCAAAATTACGGGATAGTGAGTACCATTTTTTAAAATAAAAAGTACTCCCTTTGTCCCATAAAATTCTTTATAGTAACCATTTTAGGATGTCCCAAAAAAGAATTTTTATTTTTCTTTTTGGAAATTTTCGTGTGACTAATATTTATTTATCTTTTTTTATTCAACTACAAGGTCCACAATTATACACTTTCACTTTCTTTTCACTTTATAATCAGATTGAGAACAATATTATGGGACAGATGGAGTAGAAATCATGCCATCAAAGACTCAAAGTCGATCTAGTCCCATACTCCCATACTTGGGAACTCGAATACGACCTGTTCCGGTTCAATACCAACTACTACAATGCCTATGCCAGTTCATTCCCAGGCTCGTCGGTTAGACCCAGACTCAATCCGGACTTGGTTGTTTTTAACAGGTATGAGTCTTTATTTTACTTCATTTACCCTGACCCATTAGTATTTTTAAAAAATGACCCATTATTTTACTTCATTTACCCTGACTCGTTGTTTTCAAAATTTTGATGTAGTTTTTTTTATAAAAATTGGAGCAAAAATGAAAAAGATACAGGACTATACAGAAAAGATTTTTTTAAATCCTTGGTCCCACAAACTATTCTCCCCTCCATTTCTTACGTGCAGCTGGGTTAGCGTCCACAATTCCTGAGAGGTAAGTCGTCAAATGGAGTGGCAATTCTCATTAACTATGATTTGATTCAACATTATGTTTATAAATAGTTTTAACTCAACATTAATTCTGTAAATAAATTTTTACTTAATATTATTTTGGAGAAAAACTCATATTTGTACACGAATTTAGTGACAATTTTAAAAGTCTAGATTTTAAAAGTTACTTATTAGTTACTTATATTTGTACATGAATTTAGTGACAATTGGAAAATGTATAGTTCATTCATGATGTAATGTGCACAACTAGTGGTGGACCCGGTTCGGGCCGCCCGGCCCGAGATCGGCCCGGCCCGTTACTGTGCTGGCCCGGAATCGGTTCGGTTCTCGGGTCCGGGTCCGGTTCGGGCACCGAACCGGTGGGGGGTGGCGGTTCCGGGCTCGGGTGTTATTTTTGGAGGCCCGGCCCGGCCGGGTCGGGCCCGGGCCTAACGGTCCATTTTTAAAAAAAAAAAAAAATTCCTTTTAAATTAAAAAAGCATGTTGACCACTTGACCCACTTCCCAAACGGCTATATAGCTGTTGGGTGGGTACCTGGGGGGGTCCGGGGGCTTTGCGGGGTGGGGGGGTGGGGGGTGGGGGTTAAAAAAAACTATAAATACTCCTAATTTTAAACATGTTTTCACACCTCTTCTCCAACTCTTCCTAAATCCTACTCTCTACTCTCTACTCATCTCCATATTCATCTTCTCAAATTCTCTTATTCTCCATTATATTTTATTGGGAAAATTGATAGCAATAATCCCAACTATTGGCGGTCCGCTCATAATAATCCCAACTATTGATTATTTCAGAATAATCTCAACTTTAGGGACCTTCCGCCAATAATGGGCCGATGTGACCGATTATAAACAAATTCTTGTAATTTCTCAAGTTGATGAGAAGAGATATATCAAATAATCCCTATAAATAATCTCAACTTTTAATTTTTACGCTTAATGTTTATTTAAATTTGGAGGTAATATCTGGTCATGGACCATTATTGGCGGATGGTCCATATAGTTGGGATTATACAAAAATAATCAATAGTTGGGATTATTATTAGCGGACTGGCAATAGTTGGGATTATTATTTTCAATTTTTCCTATTTTATTTGACTATTTAATACTTATACAATTATTATATCTACTTATATATTAATTATCTACTTATAAATACATATACTATATTACTTATATTTCTTATCTACTTAATCTCTACTTATATCTCTTAATACATACATACATACTACATCTACTTCATATATACTTTATATATTAAAGTATTAAATATACTTTATAAACTATTACTATATACTTAATACATAATAATATCTACTTCTCTACTTATATTTCATATATACTTATTTTCTTATTCTCCAATCTCCAATTCTCCATTATACTCTAATATTTAATTCTTATACAATTATTATATCCACTTAATACATACATTCTACATCTACTTAATATATATTTTATATATTAAAGTATAAAATATAAGTGTATTACTCATCTTATAGTAGTATACTTATATATTATATACTATAAACATTATATTATATATTAGTTACTATAACTAGTATTATACTAGTCAATTAGTTAATTAGCATTCTTGTTACATTTTTCATTATACTAGTTAATTAGTTAATTAGCATTCTTGTTACATTTTTCATTAGACTAGTTAATTAGTTAATTAGCATTCTTGTTACATTTTTCATTGTACTAGTTAATTACTTAATTAGCATTCTTGTTACATTTTTCATTATACTAGTTAATTAGTTCATTAGCATTTTTGTTACATTTTTCATTATACTAGTTAATTAGTTCATTAGTATTCTTTTTACATTTTTCATTAAACTAGTTAATTAGTTCATTAGCATTTTTGTTACATTTTTCATTATACTAGTTAATTAATTCATTAGTATTCTTTTTACATTTTTCATTAAACTAGTTAATTAGTTCATTAACATTTTTGTTACATTTTTCATTATACTAGTTAATTAGTTCATTAGTATTCCCATTAATTGTTAAAACATCTCTACTTCAAAAAACTAGTTAATTGTCATTATAGTTAAAGTCACATTATAATATTTTCAATTTATATTTGAACGAAAAAATAGTAGTTCAATCATTTAATTAAAGTACTTAACATTTTATTTAAGTATTTTTTACTAAATTAAAGTACTTGAAAAGTTGCTATAATTTTAATTTTAGAGTCACACATTAATTCTACTTTGCACTAAATTAGTTTGAAGTTTTAATTGAAATAGTTTTAATTAGTTGCATTAGTTTTGTATTCATTATTATATTTGTTGCCAATTAATATTTGTTACATTTTTAAGATGGAAGGTGGTAGATATTCGGTTGATTTGGGTAACCCCCAACGCAATCGAAGGAACGAGATTGGGAGGAAGAAATCCCGCAAAGGTAAAGAACTTGCCGGCTCTTCATCTCAAAGCCGAGATGATTTTGAAACGGGTTACCAAAGGCGAGATGGAGATGCGATGTCCGAAGAACAACTACAACAAGAATTGGCCCGACATAATAACCGCTTTCTACAACAACAACAAATCCCGACGACCATTGACGAAGAGGAGCTTGAGGATGAAGATGCGGAGGAAATGGAACCGGAGACGGCCGAGGAGGAGGGTGCCGGCAGCCACGACACCGACCAGCCTGCCTCATCCCAAACCGCCACCGGTAATAAAAAAAAGTAAATCTGAACTAATGCAAAATAATTTTGATAAATGGAAGGACCCACAAACCGGCTATTGGCACGCAACTTGCAAGTGGTGCAACAACAATTATAGTTTGGGGACCTCCGGCGGATACGGATCCGCCACAAGGCATCTTAAGGCAAAGCACCCCGTGGAGTATGCAAAATTAGGCGGCGGAACGGGGAAGCAAACTCAAATATCGAGGTTTGCGAATTCTCAACCTTTTGGTAATTTCTCCTACAATGATGCACAAAATTTGACTGGTATGGCTAACTTAATTTGTGAAGAAAATTTGCCTTATTTGTTTTCTGAAAGTCTTGCTTTAAGAGATTATGCACAAGGTAGTTTAAATCCTCAATTTAGAAATTATAGTCGCAAAACTGTTAAGAAAGAAATTATAAGGCTTTATAATGCGGAAAAGGCAAGGTTACAAATTTTTTTGCAAACTTTGATGGACGTGTTACTATTTGTTCTGACATATGGGAGGATGATTTTCATCATTTATATTATTTGAGTCTGACTGCACAGTATATTGATGAGGATTGGAATATGCATAAACGTGTTCTTGCTTTTCGTGAATTTAATGATCGTCACACCGCTGAACATATTTATATTTTGATTGAGCGTATTTTAATTGAGTATAATTTGATTGATAAGGTGTTTGCTATTGGTTTCGACAATGCTACTAATAATACTGCTGCTATACCTAGATTGCGTGAATTGTGTGGTGCCAATACTTTGATGGGTAGATTTTTTCATCAATGCTGTGCATGCCATGTTATAAATTTATGTGTGCAAGACGGTCTAAAAGCGTTAGGAGATGCTATGGAGGTAGTGAAGGGGGGGTTAGACGTATTTGGGGTAATGGTCAACTTAGATCAAAATGGCAAACTTATTTGACCGAAAGAGGTGTGAGATATGTTGCTTTTCCTAAAGATTTGAGTATTCGTTGGAATAGTACTTATAAATGACTTAAAGTTGTTCTTAGATATAAAGAACATTTTCCTGCTTTTTTAAAACAACATGATAACTATATTATAAACTCAGTTGAGATCGACACTTGCGAAAAAATTTGTAATGTTATGATATTTTTCTTTAATGCAATTGAAACTTTTAGTCATGTTTATAAACCTACCGCAAACCAATTTATTCGTGAAGCT